CATCCTATAAAAGCAGCTCTGTGAGGCCGGTGGTATTCTCACCACTGTACACAAGCCATTGAGCCTGGAGGCCTTGGAGGCGCTTCTGAGCGGCAGAGTTGGCTTCAGACCTAGTGGGCTTGGAGACTGCTACTTCCCAGGTGGAACTCACTTGGGAAGCACTGCACACAAATGTCAGGGGGTGTCAAATCAAAATTAATCGTTATTTGTTTATTCACTTATGAACCTCACAGGAAAAAGCAGTTTTCCATACACGTCCAGCATCATCGATTCTAATCTAGAACTAACTGCATGTTGGATTTAGTGAAATAGGTGTTGTCGTCATTAACGTGCGTGGCTTTATCTTCAGGTGCAGCTGCAAGGCGTTAGCTCGGTGTCCCGGTGTTTTAGAGGATTGGGTCACCATGGCCGTGACTCTCGCCTCAGTACTGAAGGCCTGTCCCTGGTGACACAACGCTTCCTCTCGTTTCAGTTGTTGACAACAGTAGCAACTGGGCAGTGTGTGGGAAAAGCTGTGGTGTCATCTCCATGCCAGTGGCTGCTCAGGCCACTCACAGGGTCCACATGGAAGTGATGCCACTCTTCGCGGGGTATCTCCCTCTGCCCGACGTCAGGCTGTTCAAGTACCTCCCCCATCATTCTGCGCACTCCTCCCAACTGGACGCTGGTAAGGGCTTTTTAAGAAAAAGTATACATTCGGTGTTTGAGCAGGTGATCACTTTGTGCGAGAGGTGATAAACTTGTGACAAAGCAGGTTTGAGAACTAGTGGCATGTTTTCAGTGCCAGCAGAAACAGGTACCAGAAGCCTCGTTTGCCGTTAGAAGTCTCAGGCACCTGCTCTGAAGGCCGAGCCTCTGTGTGCAGAGTGCTCTGGAAAGGGGCAGCCTCGGGTGGCAGCCTGCATGTTCAGCCTGGCTCTGTGTGGCTTCGCCAGTACCCGGGTGAGTGTCGGCACTGGGTCTGACTTCCTGTGTGTTTTGCAGACAGCTGGATAGAAAATGACAGCCTGTCAGTAGACAAGCACGGGGACGAGCAGCCGGACAGCAGCAGCCTCAAGAGTAGGGGCAGCGTGCACTCGGTCTGCAGCAGCGAGCACAAAGGCCTGCCCATGCCTCGGCTGCAGGCGCTGCCAGCCGGCCAGGTCTTCAACTCCAGCTCGGGTACACAAGTCCTGGTCATCCCCAGCCAAGACGACCATGTCCTGGAAGTCAGTGTCACATGACAGCGCCGGGGTGAACACACGCCATGGCCCAGCTGGGAGTGCACTTTACAGGACTGTGACTGGACTCCTCTCCGTTCTGCTCCAGTAAGACCTTCCATGGGCCTGCCTGACCATGGGGACATCAGAGAACGTCATCGTGCAGCTGGCCAGCTGAGTTCTGTTGTTGTTTTCATGCCGCCCTGATCTCAGATTTCCTGCCTTTCTCACCCGGTCCCCTAGCTGGTGTCCCGCGCCGCTAGCTCAGAGCCCCGGCCTCCCTCCCCCTACCTCACACACTGCTCGTGAAAGCTTCCACCCACGCCGTCTCCAAGGAGCAGCCTCTACCTGCTGGCTCTTTGTGGAAGGCCATTTGTCTTTCAGGCAGACACTCAGCAGGCCTCGAAGTCGTAGTGACACGTGTGTGCCTTTCTGGTCACACAGCTGCCCAGTTTCCTGAGCGGGATGGATTTGTGTCTCCTAAGGGTTAAAACAACTGTTTACCGCAGATCCTCTCGTTGTGCTTTTCTACAGTAACCCCTTCTAGGGGAGGCGGGTGGGGGGAGGGAGGGATCGTAACCCCTTCTGTGCCTTGGGATGCCGGAGCTGGGGGACCGGGAGGCCCATCAGCTGGAGCCACATGAAAGGCACTGAGGAAAGCTGAGCGCCAGCTGTGAGGAGGGCCTCACTGGTGAGGCTTCTTAGGGATAAATGTTTCTGGAGCCCTGTGGTCCCCGGTCCCCCATGATGTTGATGGAATATCACATGCACTGGGAATTAAATATGTATTTAATTTAATTATTATATATGTGGGGTAACATGTTGTTCTGTCCCCTTTAAAGCCTTTACATGTAATTGTAGCTGTATAATCATTATTTTTCTTCTGCACCTTAAGTCTTAGAAATTAAGATGTTCCATCGTAAGTGAGGATGAGAGAGGTCCTCAGTGTGTTTTCAGTCCGGTTGTGGGGAAGGACTCAAGTCCTGGAATGTCCTCTGCTGGTCTACTGAGTTCAGTCACACTGTTCCAATGGATTATTTGCTTTTGGTTGTAAATTTAATTGTACATATGGTTGATTTATTATTTTTAAAAGTACAGACTAACTGATATAATGTTTATAAGTTGCACCAAAAATCAAGGACAAAAATAAGTGTGTTCGTTTTTACAGGTGTGAAAGTCACAGCTTGTAAATAAGTGTTGTATGTATTAAACCTTTTCCAGCTCTCCAAAGCGATGTATTTTTGTACATACGAAACGGAGTACCGTTAATTTACTGGGCAAGTGTGCTTGGAATTGAACTTGACAGGATTAGTGCAAGCAGATGGAGTGTGTTCCAGCAGCAGGTGGCCCTCGTGTGAATCCCTGTGGATGTGCAAGTCGTGGAGAGGAGCACCCGGTTCCTGCCCAGCATTGTGCTCGCTCGCTCACGGGAGGGGCGGGGCGTGGGAGGAAGGAGGCACAGGCTGGGGAACCGAGGCACAGCATCATTTCCAGTATTCTCTGTGTCGTCTTAGCTTATTCAGTAAATACAGGTGGTATGATTTTTTTTCCTCCTATGCCTTTTTCCTTTGTAGAAATTGGTGACGTGTAAAGAAGATAAATAATTGTGTATTTAATTCAACTTTCCAGAAATTTATCTTCCTCATGTGCAGTTTAACAAACTTGGTTAAACTAGTTAGCAAATTAGAACTTCAGAATCTAACAATAGTTTAGGGTTTCTAAAATAAGGTTGCTTATCGTAAAAATTGACGATTGCCCTGCATTTCTACAAGTCCTGTGAATAAAGAGATCTGAGGTTTGATTCTGTCCTATCCAGGTAATCCACGTGGTTGGCCTGGGAGCCTTCCCCAGTGTACAATGTAGCTTTCTCTCTCACCTTCTGGAAGAGGGGATCTGATTAAATGTTTCATTTATTACTCTTTGATTTTCTTGTAACTGGTTCTACTCCCAGGTTGAAATTTTCCAATTACGTTTATATTTAGAAGAAGAAAGCGAAGGGGAAATTCAAAATGTTTATGGCGCTGTCTTCTTGCCAGAAAACAGAATGAAATCAATTTTATCACAGTTTTTTCCCCTTGATTACCCAAAAGATCTTTTGCAAACTGTGTTAATGAGTGCTCTTGCCTCTCTAAGACAAAAGAAGAATGTCACCCAAAACTGTCATTTTTTTCTTTATGCTCATCAGAAAAGTACTAAAAGAGTAACTGTAATTGGATTTTTATTGTGTTTTATGTAAAGTAAGGTCTATGTGTTTGAGACAAGCTGGTTTTGTTGATAAAGGTGTAAGAGATGTTAAATAATTGTGAAGCCAGATATACAATGTGTGTGTTTCAAAAAGCAAAGAATTTGAAGCCGTTTTACAAATATCTGTGGAACATGTAAATACTGTCAAATGGAAAATAAAGTTATAATTTTTGTGAATTTCATGGATGTCCTATGACTGGAAAAATTATAACTTCTGATTTTAACGTGCAAATTGTATTTAATCTGAAAACGACTTTATCCACAACAGTTCCGCTGTCAGCGCAGCCTAGGAGGGTCAGATTCTGTATTACTTTCAGTGGAGAGGCTAGATGTCGCATGCAGAATTAGCAGAGAAAATGCACACAGGCTTCTATTCAATTTTTCCTTAGTGCTTAAAATAAGATTAAATCAAACATTCCGAATGTGTATATAAAAGGAAAAGCTGTACTACTTTTTATAAAAGGGCAGACTGGACTGATCTAAATATTTTCTTTTCAACTTTTTTTTTTTTTTTAAATAAATCCTACCTGGGTTTTTAATTTTATTTTTCATGAAAATGCCCCTTTCTCTGCATTTATTTATCCTATATATCAGGCTGTAAGACGCACAGCCATCATTAATCCAGTGTGTTGGGATTCTGTGACTGGAAAAGGTGACAAGTTGGTGACTTTGACACTGCAGGTATTAATTACATTTTCATGGTTTACTATGAAAAGTCATTTTTCATATTATGTAATATATTGTTAGATTAAAACCATTGTATTAAGACTGTTTAAAATGTAAGCACTGTAATTCTGAAAATATACATTTTAAGAAGAAAGTGTTTTGCCCTGGATCTTTTGCTGCGACCTGGCGTGACAACAGTGTGTAATATGAAGATTTTCTTGTTTTCTCTCCCTAGTCCTTGCTCCTGACTCTTGGGCATAGATTATTTGCCTTTTGGGAAGGAAGCATTCAGGACTTTATTTTTTTGAGACAGAGTCTGGCTCCGTCACCTATGCTGGAGTGCAGTGGTGCGATCTCAGCTCACTGCAGCCTCTGCCTCCCAGGTTCAAGTCATTCTGCCTTAGCCTGCGAGTAGCTGGGACTACAGGCATGATTTAATTTTTGCCTTTTTAGTAGAGATGGGGTTTCACTAGGTTGGCCAGGCGGGTGTCGAACTCCTGACCGCGGGTGATCCACCCGCCTCGGCCTCCCAAAGTGCTGGGATTGCTGGTAAGCCACCGCACCGGCCAGCATTCGGGACTTGATTCATAATGCCTTACCCAAGAGCTCACACGGACAAAGGCATTTGTAAGTGCAGGGATCTCGGGTGCTGTGGACGCTGCTGTTCCGGGTGTGCCAAGCGTGGCCTCGGCTCGGAGAGCGCTCCGCGCTGGACCGCACGATAGTCGGGGGCACCCTGCCACCCTGCGGTGTGGCTCCGGGGTTGTGGGCGGGACCCGGAGGAGACTCCGCCTGGGAGGAGCGGGCCGCTGGAGCGCAAACTCCGCCTCGGGGCGGGGCGAGGGCGAGACTCCGCCTCCGGCCTCCAGGGACGCGGCGCGCGGTGGTGCGGGCCCCGCCCCGGAAGTGCGCTCTGTGGGCAGTGCCGCTCGGACCCGGAAGTGCTTCTGTGTGCGGCCGCGGGCTTGAGCGGCTGCACACGTGGGGCGGCCAGGATGAAGTTCGCTTACCGGGTGAGAGCCGGCGGTGGCGGCGGCGGCGGGCGGGCTGTGGGACGGCGCGGCTCTTCCGCTTGGGCGGGCGCCGGGCGCGGTGGGAGCGCGTGGTCGTCTTTCGCGGCTCCCGGCCTCGTGGGGTTCGCCGGCAGGCTGCGCGCCCAGGGCCCTGGGGACGCCGTGCTGTGGCGGGGCTCCCGGGAGAGCTGGGACGCGGGCGCCGACGGCTCCCCTGAGGGCACAGGGACACTTGCCGGGGCCGCGGGAGGAGTTTTAACCTGAGTATGGCCCAGCCCAGAGTCTGGGGTCGGTGCTGTCAGGGAGGGCACAGCACCCTCGGGAGGGATGAGGCGGTGGGACCCGGCGCGGGCGCGGGCAGGAGGGGTGAGAGGAGGGGGCACCGGGGCCCGGGCAGCTCCGTAACGGGGGAGCGTCCAGGTGAGCGGGGGGGCCGGATCCTGGGTGTGAGCTCGGTTTCCCGAGGCGGGGAATTCCTGAGGCGGAGGCCGGCACTTCTGAGAGCCAGGGGCGGGGGCACTTGTCCCAGATGTGAAGTGCAGGGGGCGGGTGAGGCGGAGCGGGCCCGGGGGCGTCTCTGCAGCCTTTGCCGCAGCTGGCTGGGTGCAGGGACGTCCGCGTTTCCCGCAGTGGCCTCCAGGGATGCCCGAGCCGCCTGCTCCTGGGCGCACCGTGAAGACACTTGTCCTGTCGGAAACTGAGCTTGGTGCCGGCCCTTCCGAGCGCTGCTGCTCTGGCCCCTGTGCTGGCGGAGGCACCGCTGTGTGCCCAGCACCAAACCAGAAACCATATCCAGAAACTCGAAGGCCAGGACTTCATACACTCCACGTTCTTGCTGCGGGGTGGCAAAAAGTGTGCATTGGAGCTCGCCTGGCCGCTTAAAGTCCTGCTGACTAAGCTCCTCCCTGAGGTCCTCAGGGCCCTGCCCACCAGCAGCCTTGGGGCCTGGCGGTTCCCGCTCAGGTGACCCCCCGCCAGGGTAGCCCTTCCTCCCACATTTCTCATCCCGTCCTGCTAGGGATAGAGTGAAAGGTGGGCGTGCCTGTGTGCAGGGCAGTCTCCAGGGAACGCTGTGCTTGAGATCAGTAAAGCAGAGGGAGGTGCCAGCTGCAATGCTAATGGACGCCCTGAGCTCTGGGCACTTTTGGGGTGCTGTTCCATTCGTGCAGCTTTTCTTTTGGTGAAATGTGGGCTCCGTGCCCCTCTTCACCTAGCAAGCGCCTCTTGGGAGGCTTCCTCAGGGCTCACAGGGGCATCTTACCCATCTCTGTGGCAGCTTGGCCCCCCCGCCCTCCGGCTTCTCTGGTCTCCTAAGGATCAGGCTCCCCTCACTTCCTACTCTCTCACCTAGGACGTGTGCACGGCCCCCAAGGTGGGGGTCCCTATGCCTCTCTCTGCCCAGATGCCTCACTTAGAGTTTTTCTGGGAGTCGAGACTGTTTTCTTGGTGTTAAGACAACTTTATTTTCTTTTTAGTTTTCAAATTTGCTGGGTACGGTTTACCGGCGTGGGAACCTAAATTTTACCTTCGATGGAAATTCAGTTATCAGTCCCGTGGGCAATAGAGTCACTATATTTGACCTTAAGAAGTAAGTATGTGGTGAAAGTGGTGTTGATCATCGTGGTGGTATTATGATCACAGTTTTTTATGTAGCATATGAAAGCTGACAGTGTCTTCTGTGGCTTCCTTTTAATGGTACACCTGTTAATTAAGGCAGCCCAGGGCAGGGCTACAGGACCTATTAGGGTCAGCAGAACACTTGTGGAAATTGGCATTCAAGACCCAGTTCTCGTGCCTTGGCCATGCCCTGTAAAATCGTGTGTCACTTGGCTGTGTTACCTGGGAAGGGACCTGCCTTTGCACTGTGGAGGTTGGGTAGGGGAAGGTGTAGCTCGGGATTAGCCCTTTCCCCATCAGGGAAGGCACCTTGGACCCCCGCTCGGTAGCCGCTGGGCCTCATGGGTGAGACAGGCAGGCCCAAAGCTTCTAGCTCTGCAGCCGGAGATGAGGTTTGGTCGCCGGGGCTTAGCTGTTTCTTCCTGCGGGCTGTTGCCCTTTGCTTCACAGCTCTGTGCAGCTGTTTTACTACAGAGCAAACGTTTGTGGAAACCCTGCATGGACAAGTCAGCTGGTGCTGTTTCCCAGCAGCAAGGGCTCGTTTCATGTCTCTGTCCCACATTTTAGTAATCTTTGCAGTATTTCAAAGTCTCTATAGCTGTGATCGTCTTTGCTGTTACTCTTGTAATTGTTCTGGGTGCCATGATCTGTACCCATGGGAGATGGCAAGCTCAATGGAGAGGCACTGTGTGTGATGTGGCTGCCCCAGCAGCCGGCCGTTCCCCACCCCTGTCTCTCCCTCTACTTGGGGCTCCCTATTGAAACAACATTGAAGTTAGGCCAGTTAATATCGTACAGTGGCCACTACATGTCCCCGTGAAAGGAAGGGTCACCACTCCCATTTGAAGTCAGAGCTAGAAGTGATTAAGCTTCGTGAGGAAGATGTATGCAAAGCTGAAATCAGCCGAAAGCCAGGTCTCCGCCACCACACAGGCCAGTTGTGAATGCAGAGAAGCTCTAGAAGGAAATTAGAAGTGCGACTCCAGTGAACACGCTAATTACAAGGAAGCCAAACAGCCTTGTTGCAGCTACAGATGGAAGTTTCAGTGATCGGATAGATCAGACCAGCCACAGCACTCCCGTGAGCAAGTCGGAGCCTAAGGCACAGCAAGGTGCCACCTGTTCTCAGTTCTGTCCTCAGTCTGTGAGGGCTGAGAGGTGGGGAAGCTGCAGGAGGAAAGTTGGAAGCTGGCAGAGGCTGCTTCGTGAAGTTGAAGGAAAGAAGCCATCTCCACAACCTAAAAGTGCAAAGAGAAGCAGCAGCAGGTGCTGATGGAGAAGCTACAGCGGGTTTCCAGAAGATCTAGCTGAGACAGTTGATGAAGCTGATGACCTAAACAGCAAAGTTTCAATGGAGACAAAACACCCTTCTATTGGAAAAAGATGGCCAGGTGCAGTGGCTCGTGTGTGATCCCAGCCCTTTGGGAAGCTGAGGTAGGAAACAGCCTTCTATTGGAAAAAGACAGCCAGGCGCAGTGGCTCGTGTGTGATCCCAGCCCTTTGGGAAGCTGAGGTAGGAAACAGCCTTCTATTGGAAAAAGACAGCCAGGCGCAGTGGCTCGTGTGTGATCCCAGCCCTTTGGGAAGCTCAGGTAGGCAGATCACTTGAGGCCAGGAGCTTGAGACCAGCCTGGCCAACCTGGCGAAACCTTGTCTCTACTAAAGGTACAGAAATTAGCCTTGTCTCTACTAAAGGTACAGGAATGTGCTACCACATTCCTGTAATCCCAGCTACTCAGGAGGCTGAGGTGGGAGAACTGCTGGAACTGGGGAAGCAGAGGTTGCAGTGAGCTGAGATCGTGCCACTGCACTCCAGCCTGGGCGACAGAGCAAGACTCTGTCTAAAAATACATAAAGTTTAAAAAAAAACAAAAAGATGCCATCTAGGGCTCACAGAGCTAGAGAGAAGTCATGCCTGGCTTCAGGCGACAGGCTGACTCTCTTATGAGGGGCTGATGCAGCTGGGGACATTAACTGGAAGCTAGTGCTCATTCACTGCTGAAATCCTGGTGCCTTCAGAACTGTGCTCCAGCTCCTCTGCCTGTGCTCTGTAAGTGGAACAGCAAAGCCTGGATGGCAGCATCTGTTTACAGCAGGGTTTACGGAATGTTTCCAGCCCATTGTCAAACCCACTGCTTAGAAAAAAAGGTTCCTTTCAAAATATTCCTGCTGATGGACACGTGCCTGGTCACCCGCGAGCTCCGGTGGAGATGCCCACGGAGATGCATCTTTATACCTGCTAATGCCACGTCTTCTTTAGCCCGCGGGAGTGATTTTAACTTTCAAGTTGTCTCATTTAAGAAATATATTTTGTAAGGCTCTAGCCACCACAGATAGTGATCCCTGTAATGGATCTGGGAAAAGCCAGTAAAAAGCCTTCTGGAAAGGAGTCGCCATTCTAGATGCCATTTCGTGATTCATTCAAGGAGGTCACAGTGTCGACATTAACAGGAATTTGAGTCCAGGCTTCGTGGATGACTGAGGGCTTTGAGACTTCGGGGGGAGAAGTTACTGCAGACGTGGTAACAATAGCAAGAGGGTTAGAAATGGGAGCAGAGCCGCAAGATGGGACTGAGTTGCTGCGAGGTCAGGATCAGTCTTGAGTGGATGAGGAGCCGCTTCTTATGTGTGAGCAAAACAAGTGGTTTCTGGAGTTGGAATGTGCTCCGGAGGATGCCGTGAAGACCGGAGCTGACAGAGAGGGTTAGAATCCGACACCAGCTTAGCCATAAAGCGCTGGGAGCATTTGTGAGTAGTGACTCCAGGTTTGGGTGAAGTGCTGTCAGACAGCCTCACGTGCCACAGAGGCATCCTGTGAAAATGAGGGTCCACCGATAGCCAGGCTTCACTGCTGTCTTGTGCTAGGAATCTGCAACGGCCACCGTCTTTTCAGCAGCCATTCCCGTCGAGGCAGGCCGTCTACCAGCAAAGAGAGGACGAGCCACTGAAGGCTCAGATGAGCATGAGCAGTAAAGCGTTTTTAAATTAAGGGAGGCACGTTGTGGCTTTAGACAGAACGTTAGTGCAGACTAATAGAATACAACACACACGAGCAGAGTGTAGGGCGCTCGAACAGAGCTCGGTGCACACTGATGGACTACACCATGCTGTTTACAATATGGCGTAAACACGACTCAGCTGTGCGCGGGGAAGCCAGAACGTGAGTGCCTCACTCCACTGCAGCGTCCCGCTACCTGCAGCATCTCCGAGGGACTCCTGGACCCACCTGTTGACTATTTCTCTAATAAGTGTTACATGGGTGCGCTGTCTTGGTGGTTAATCTCCGTTGGGTGTTGAGCGTGCGTCTGGTATTCTGATGTCACGCTGAGGCGGATTCCTCTCATCTTACCATCCTGGAAGTAGAATTGATGTTTTCAAAGCCCATTGTTAAGACTTTTGATGTGTTTCACCAAAGTCCCTCCAGGGACAACGTCATTTCTTTCTCGGGAGTGGGGTGTCGTCCACAGGTGGACTCTGGCACCAGGAGGCCCAGTGAGATTGGAGGCACCGTGCAGGGAGGCTGGGCCGCTGGTCGTCTCTCGTGGCCTGAGGACCAGCTCCCCACTGTGATTTTTATCTTCATCAGCAACAGATCCGACACGCTGCCCCTGGCCACTCGGTACAACATCCAGTGCGTGGGACTGTCCCCAGATGGGCGCCTCGCTATCATCGTGGATGAAGGTACTGGTCCTTGGTGTGTGCAGGGACGGAGGGCACCAGTGAGGAGGGACCCAGGGCTGTGTGGGGCCGAGATGATCCACTCCCCAGTTACTTCCTGGTTGGGGCCTTAGTGGGGATTGTGGGTGCGGATGTCATGGATGAGGCTGTGCCCCTGCCGCAGGATGTGTCTGTGTCATCATCTGTGGCAGGGCAGGGCCTTATGGCTCAGGCACTCTCAGTTCTGAAGCCTCACAGTGGACGTGGACGTGAGAAAGGCTTTCCTGTGTTTTTCTGTGCTGTCTATCTGGGGTGGCCTGGGGAGGGCGGGGCTGCACGTTCTCACTTCTGGCCTCCTGCAGGGGGCGATGCGCTGCTGGTCAGCCTGGTCTGCAGGTCTGTGCTGCACCGCTTCCACTTCAAGGGTTCTGTGCACAGCGTGTCCTTCTCCCCCGATGGCAGGTAAGGGGGGCGAATGGCGGGGCGGGAGGGGGGCAGGAGGGGATCTGCCATGGGTGCCAATGGCAAGGCCCACTGCCCGGCTCTTTTCCCTGGGCCCCGGCTTGTCACGTTGGGCACACGGCCCAATCTCTGGCATTGGTGCCCTCCTGTTCTGCAGCAGAAGGCTTGGTGGGGGCCGGCTGCCTTCCCTCTGGGTCTGTGTTTCTTGGCCTCCATCCTGCAGGAGGCAGGACTCCGGAAGGCCCAGGCGGGTGCAGAATGAGACTCCACCGTGGCCTTGGGGCCGCAGCTGGTTGTGAGGATCAGCCGTGTCCGCATTCTCTCCATAGGAAGTTTGTCGTCACAAAGGGCAACATTGCCCAGATGTATCATGCCCCCGGGAAGAAGCGGGAGTTCAACGCCTTCTTTCTGGACAAGACCTATTTTGGACCTTACGATGAGACCACCTGCATCGACTGGACAGATGACTCCAGGTGTGGCCTCGGAGGCATGGGGGGAGCGGGGCCTGAGAGTGGCACCGGGGATGGGTCCCTCCCTTGGGCAACTTCCTTCTGCAATGGCCTCTCAGCCTTCTTTGGGGCTGGGTGCCGCGCACACCATTGGGACTGGCTGGGTGGCTGCGGTCGGGTCTTTGTGGCCCCGAAACACATGCTGTGGCCGGGTGTCCTGCCCCAAGCCTGCGCTGGCCATTCACCTGTTTGTCCTGGAAACAGTACGCTGCAGTAGGCTCAGGTGGCGTCTGGGAGGCGTGAGGAAGACAGGAAGCGGGGCCTGTGCCACGGCACCCCCACCGCGCCTGGAGGCTTCTCAGCTCACTCTGAGACCACATGCGGCTCTCTGGAGAGCACAGCTGGCTGCCTTGTCCTGCCCAGCCCTGAGGAGGTGCTGCCTCCCTCTTTTCCAGGTGCTTTGTGGTGGGGAGCAAAGACATGTCCACCTGGGTGTTCGGAGCAGAGCGCTGGGACAACCTCATCTACTATGCACTGGGGGGGCATAAGGACGCCATCGTGGCCTGCTTCTTTGAATCCAGCAGCCTGGACGTACGTCTCTGTGCCGAGTTCCCTAGCCTGACGGTGGCCAAAAGCTGCTCATTCAGGGAGGCCCCAGGGTGCAGGTAGCCTCTTCCTGCGCTTCCTCCAGGCTGTTCCCATGTGGCCCGGGGACATCTGGGGACCAACAGCAGCTGTTGTGGCCCATTGAGAATTGTTCTCACAGTTCGGAGGGGCCTTCCGTGGTGCTGGTCCCTGGATCTGAGCTGGAGGGAGGTGCCAGGTTGTGGCAGGCGGGCCGGCGTGGCTGGGACCAGGGTGACCCTGCGCTTCCCCTCGTAGCTGTACTCACTCAGCCAGGACGGAGTGCTGTGCGTGTGGCAGTGTGACACGCCCCCCGAGGGCTTGCGACTGAAGCCGCCTGCAGGCTGGAAGGCGGACCTGCTGCAGCGGGAAGAAGAGGGGGAGGAGAACCAGGAGGGGGACAGAGAGACTACCATCCAGGGAAAAGCCACTCCGGCGGAAGAGGAGAAGACAGGAAAAGTGAAGTACTCGCGGCTGGCCAAGTAGGTCTCCAAGGGCGAGGTGGGGCGCTGGGGGCGCTCCTGTGGGCATCTCTTGTGCTCAGAGAAACCTGGCTGTGGGGTCCCCAGCTGGGGAGCAGGAGGTACAGAGAGCAGGCCGGCCTCTGGGGGCGCTGGTTTGAGTACCCTCGAGTGCTGGGGTGTTGACTCTGCCCCATAAGCAGGGTCCCTGCCTCTGCTGTCTGAGCTGCCTGTGTGCCCAGGGCTAGACGGTGGGCGGTGGGCGGGGATGCGTGGGGGGCAGGCAGGCGTGAGGGCACTGCATGATGGGACAGCAGCACTTTGGGCCCTGAGGGGATTGGGGGGTGTCTGTGGCCCCGCCAGCTTCTGTGGAGTTTGTTGTGGGGATAGTCCCTCGGCCTCGTGTGGGGAGACTCTGGGAAGGAGGCATTTGGCAGGGCTGGAGGGAGAGGCTGGGGTGTGAGTGGGCGCAGTGGGTGGCCTGAGTCCTGCTTCGGGGCTGCCGGTGGGTGGTCCTTGGTGCTTTTTCGGGCGCTGAACTGGGCGGTGCAGCCCCACATTCGAACTCAGTCCCCCAGACGAGACGAGACGAGACTGAGCCTGGCCCCATGGACCACCCAGGGGATGGCCTTCGCTGTGCCCGGAGCCCTGGCAGAGATGCCGCCCCGTGTCTGGGCTGTGGGGGAGGCTGGTCAGGATTACATGGAGGCAGAGTTTCCTGCAGCCATGGTGTCTCTCAGCGGGGTGTCCCAACCTGGACCCCTCCATGCTGCATTGCAGGGCTCTAAACTTGGTGCTGAGACACACCGTCTGCCCTAGCGAGGCTTCCTCTCTGCTGGGGAGAGGTGCAGTGATGGGGTGGCTGCGTGCTGAAGTGGGCGGCAGTTGGGGGCCCTGGGCAGGGAAGGCGCCCACGTGAGGCCCTGCCTGTGGAGGGAAGCCGGTGGCCGGAGCGGGCTGCGTTTGGAGTGTGTTGGGGTCCGGTGGGTGGGTGGGAGTGGTGGTCACGAGAGTCTTGGGTGTGAGGAGTGAGGGGCTGGCTGGGCTCCAGTGCGAGAAGGCCCTCTGCCAAGAGCAGCGGAATGGGGGGGGGTGGCCAGAACGGGGCCCCGTGGGTCAGTGCCTGTGGGGACTTGGTGTTGTGCTGGAGAAGAGGAAGGGACTATGGGAAAGGAGGTTCCAGGCGGCTTCAGAAGACTGCGTGCTGGGTGGGGACCACGGCTGTCAAGGGTGTGAAGGGAGGGCCTCCTGCACTGGCAGCCAACAGTCCTCTTCGCTTGTTCAGGAGGGATGGGGCCAGAGAGCAGAGGGAAGGGCTAGGGCTGAGCTGCACTGTGACTCAGGGAGGTTTAGAGGGTCGGGGAGCTGTCAGGTCATCTTTGTCTGTTGCTGGGGACTCAGGGTTCCTTAGGGGAGGGAGCAGCAGGAGGTGATGGGACCGGGGGTACCCGGCGGCCCTGCTGTGTCCCCTGCACCTCCTTTGTCTCCCGTGGGCACTGCTCCCTCTGGACGCATCGCTAGCTCTGCTGTGGGGCCACCTGGTGACAGTGGAGACCTTGTGCGAGGTTCCCTTGAGGTCCCGAGCTCAGGATGGAGGAGGGCAGCTTCAGGGCCTGGGATGAGAGGGAGAGGGCAGGTCTGGAGCTGTGACCTCTGCCGGAGCCCTGAGCGAGGCGGGATGGCAGCCTGGCTCTGCTCCTCACAACTCTCCTCCCTTGCCAATTCAGGTATTTCTTTAATAAAGAAGGAGATTTTAACAATCTGACAGCTGCCGCATTTCACAAGAAGTCTCACCTCTTGGTCACTGGCTTTGCTTCTGGAATCTTCCATCTTCATGAGCTGCCGGAATTCAACCTCATCCACTCACTGAGGTAAACCGTGGCTCGAAGTGGGGTGTGGTTTTTATGCACTCACTGAAGTGATCCTTCCACTTCAGCCTCCTGAGTGGCTGGGATTCCAGGTGTGCAGCATGACACCTGGCTGGATTTTAAATTTTTTGTAGAGACGGGGCCTTGCCGTGTTTCCTAGGCTGGTCTTGAACTCCTGGGTTCAAGCAGTCCCTGTCTCTGCCTCCTGATGTGCTGGGATGACAGGCGTGAGCCCCTGCACCAGCCTTCTGATACTTGAACTGAAGTGAATTGCTGGAGTCTGGTGAATGGGGTGGGGTGTCGGGTCATGCTGAGCGTACACTGGGGCTTCAGCCTGGGGCAGGCTGGCCTCCCGCTCACAGGACCGCTCTCTGCAGCATCTCAGATCAAAGCATCGCCTCAGTGGCCGTCAACAGCTCTGGGGACTGGATCGCCTTTGGCTGTTCAGGTTTGTCCCTGGCCCGGGTGGTAGAGATGGACTCGCTGTCAGGGACTACTGCTGCCCAGCTACAGGTCTGCTCGACAGCCACCTACTGGGGATGCCCTCCCCTCCTCCAGCCCATTGTCAGGGGGTGCCCTCCCCTCCTCCAGCCCACTGTCGGGGGGTGCCCTCCCCTCCTCCAGCCCACTGTTAGGGGGTGCCCTCCCCTCCAGCTGCTTTTCAGGGGTGCTCTCTCCTCCGGCTGCTGGCCAGGGGTACCCTCCCTGCCCTGGTCCTCCTCAGACATCTCTCTGTCTTAAGCCCCCTTGCTCAGGGGTGGGAGGGTCACAGCCCCATCTCAGTTGTGACCAGCGGCCACGGGTTTGCATAGGCAGGGCCCATCACTGGCTGGGGGAGCTGCGGCATTGGGCGGTGGTTCTGGCCTGTGCTTGGGGGTCTGTGCGTTTTGCCCCATTCCTAGCAGCTTTCTTGGGCCTGTGGGACATGGGAAGGTGGTCCTGGGCCGGGTACAGCAGCTCCCCGATGTGCACAGGTCTGGGCCAGCTGCTGGTGTGGGAGTGGCAGAGTGAGTCCTACGTGCTCAAGCAGCAGGGCCACTTCAACAGCATGGTGACCCTGGCCTACTCACCCGACGGACAGTACATTGTGACTGGCGGGGACGATGGCAAGGTAGGCTCCTGTCCCCATCCTGTTGGCCTCTGTGCTGGCCCCAGGATCTGTAGACTGTGGCCTCAGGCTGCAGCCTGCCTTTCTAGTGAGGCTGTACTGGAGGCAGCTGTGGGCACAGAGGCAAGGCTCTCAGTATGCGGCATCACGTGTGGGGGTCTCAGGGATGGCGTATCAGTCACAGGCGGGTGTCTGAGGGATGGGCGGGTACAGGGGCAAGCATCTTAGCTGGGGTGTATGGGAACAGGAACCCCTGCTGAAGCCATGGCACACAGGCTTGGGGTCTGCCCTGCCCCTCCTGTCCTGCCGCAGGTCAAAGTGTGGAACACCCTCAGTGGCTTCTGCTTCGTCACTTTCACGGAGCATTCCAGTGGGGTGACTGGTGTGACCTTCACTGCCACTGGCTACGTCGTGGTGACCTCATCCATGGACGGGACCGTGCGAGCCTTTGACCTTCACAGGTGAGGTCTCTGCTCAGGGTCACTGGGAGAAGGATGAGGGGGCCATGGTGGGCCCAGACGCTGGATGTGGCCAGCTCAGGGATCAGGGACAGGCTCCCCTAACGCAGCGAGGAAGGTGGCAGAGAGGCTGCAGTGTACCTGCTCAGGTGCAGGGGACCCTGGCGTGTGATGCTGCCCTTGGCTCTTCTCTGCAGGTACCGAAACTTCCGCACCTTCACCTCCCCACGCCCCACCCAGTTCTCCTGTGTGGCGGTGGATGCGAGTGGGGAGATCGTCTCCGCGGGGGCGCAAGACTCATTTGAGATCTTCGTGTGGTCCATGCAGACAGGCAGGCTCCTTGACGTAAGTGGCCCGAGGGGCTGGGCCCTCCTGTCTCCTGGGAGAGGAATGCAGGGAGCTGAGGTTACACTCCCGGGGCCCATGCCTCTGGCCCAGCCCTGCCCAGAGAGCCGCCGTGGCCCTCACCTCCACTCTTCACGCCCCCTTGTTCCATGGTAGGTTTTGTCCGGACACGAGGGGCCCATCAGTGGTCTGTGTTTTAACCCAATGAAGTCCATCCTGGCCAGTGCCTCCTGGGACAAGACGGTGCGGCTGTGGGACATGTTTGACAGCTGGAGGACCAAGGAGACGCTGGCCCTGACCTCTGATGGTGAGCACGAGGCAGTGGGCAGGAGCGGCGGCCTGGGGACCAGCAGCGTGCTGTCACACCCACTGCCCTGTTCCTAGTTGTGGGTTTGGTGCGAACTTTCTGGTGGGAAGGGTGGGTCGCTCTTAACCCAGACCTGCTAGTGTGGCAGGCCTGGAGGTTGGCGATACCTAGGAGACAGCAGATAGGTGGGTCGGGCCAGTGTGGCTTCCATGAGTCCCAGTGGGGTTCCCGCTCCATTGGCGAGTGCGCCAGGCTTGAGAGAACAGCTTCCCGAGGGCAAAGTGCTGCCGCCACAGCTGCTTCCTGATTTTCTGAGTTCCTTTGAGTTTAAGTATTGTCCTCCAATGTGTAACCGGAGCTCTGCCAGGGTTGTGTCACTGGGAGAAGGATGAGGGGGCCATGGTGGGCCCAGACGCTGGATGTGGCCAGCTCAGGGATCTGTAGACCAGGAGAAGGATGAGGGGGCCTTGGGGGGCCCCAGGATCTGCAGACCATGGTCTCAGGCTCCTGCCTGCCTTTCTGACCAGGCTGTACTGGAGGCAGCCATGGCCTCCTGTGTTCACATGGGCTGTGCCTGTCACACCATAGTAGCAGCATTAAAAGACCACGTGGCTCACAAAGACCCAGCCCATCCATGTTTGGGTGTGGGCAGAATCTGCCACCCCAGGAGGCTGGTTCTCCTGCTTTCCGCTGCCTCACCCACTCCCGCCTGGCACTGGCCAGTCTTTTGGTGTCACGTGGCTTCTTTGCAGAGGCTCTGTATTCTCGTCTGTCCAGCCACCCTCAGTAACCTTGGCCAGCACTCACCTATCAGCCTCACCTTCCCGGCTGCCCCGTTCATCGGGCCTTTGTGGGTCCTGCGGCCCAAGCTGGACCGCCTGGTGCTCTTCACCAGTGCCAAGTTGTTCCCTCACCCACCTGGGTTGGAGCTTCTTCTGGGAGGGGATTCTTGTGTACCAGACCCAACAGGCGCTGGTCTCTTGGGGGTGCCAGGGCAGGCCTGGTCTCCAGCCAGGGCGGTTGGTGGGCCGCCCGTGGGAGACTGGGTCTTCACTGGGCCTTCCTTTGTACCTCTTCTGTTCAGCCTTGGCTGTGACTTTTCGTCCTGATGGTGCGGAACTGGCTGTGGCCACGCTGAACTCCCAGATCACCTTCTGGGACCCTGAGAACGCAGTGCAGACAGGCTCCATCGAGGGCAGGCACGACCTCAAGACGGGCAGGAAGGAGCTGGACAAGATTACCGCCAAGCACTCAGCCAAGGGGAAGTGAGTGTCGGTGCAGGGCCTCCCGATTCCACACCGCAGCCAGTGGCTCCCCAGGCTCCTGCAGCTTCTCCATCTTTGGCCTTGTCCTTTCCTGAGGCCGCCGAGTCCCCGTGGGTGGAGGCAGCGGGTCCTGAGCCCTCTGGGAGAGGCCACGTCCTCCTTAATTCCTAGGCCCGCACAGCCCCCAGCACAGGAGGTCGCCTGCATTTGCTGCACCTAAACTTGTTCAGCTGGGAGCCTGCATCCACTTCCAAACCTTGATCCTGAGCTATAACATCGTCCTGGGGTGCAGAGGGGAAAGCAGCTGGTGCCCAAGTTCACACCAGAGACCTGGTACTTGGGGAGGCTGAGGCGGGTAGGCTGTTTGAGCCCAGGAGTTCAAGACCAGCCTGCGCTACCTGGCGAAACCCCATCTCTACAAAAAAGACGAAAATGAGCTAGCTGTGGTGGTGCATGCCTGTGGGCCCAGCTAGTCTGGAGGCTGAGGCAGGATTGCTTGAACTCAGGAGGACAAGGCTGTGGTGAGGATGGCATTGTGGCATGGCACTGCATCCTGGGTGCTAGAGTGAGACCCTGTCTCAGAGAAACAGCAGAAAACAGCTTGGCACCTCCTAAGTAAAAATGCAGGTCCTGTCACCCCACCTGGCTACGGAGTGCCTGTGGATGGTGAAGACAGTGTCCCCTTGTCTCAACAGTCGGGGGCCAGCGCAGCACTGACCAAATAGCCTGTGCAGGATCCTGGCTGGGTCGTGAGGGTCACCCGGGTGGCCGTCAGGCCTAGGAGCAAGGGGAGGATCTGTGGGGTGTGCCTGGGTGGGTGTGGCCTTGTTGCCAGGACCTGTGTCCCAGCGCTGACTGAATTGCCTGCTTGGGGTCCTGGCTGGGCCGTGAGGGTCACTCGGGTGGCCCTCAGGCCTAGGAGCAGGGGGAGGATCTGTGGGGTGTGCCCGGGTGGGTGTGGCCTGGTGGCCTGGACCTGATTGGTCCCAGGAGCTCAGGAGCCTGATGAGGGGGTCTTCCTCCAGAAGGAAGTATCACCCTGTCTTGGAAGTGGTGTGAACACCTGCGTGCAGTCCTCGTGGGTTCACCCTGCGTGTGTAACTGCCGGGTCCTGCTGGTTCTGTTTCCGGCTTGGAGGAGCTGCACGGGTGCCAATCCCTTGAGGACGCAGTTGGCTTCTGGCTTCTCCTCGCCAGCACGTTGCTCTTTGTTTTAATTGGAGCTATTCTGGTGGATGTGAGTTCGAATCTCGTAGTTCTCACGGTAGTTTCCGTAATGACACTGAGCGTTTTTTCTCGGCCGCTGGGATGTTTCTAAGTCTTCTTTGGAGGAAGGTCTGTTTAGGCCATTTGTTAATGGCGTTGTTGGGTTTTTTGTTTGTTGATTTTAGGGGTTTCGGTGATGTCTGATGTGCAGATTCTTGTTCTGCATTGTGAACTGTCTTCCCACCGCTCTAGTGGCGCTCTTGACGTCCAGCTGGCTCGTTGTTTCTGCTGTTCCATGTTCTCTGCTGTCACAGCTGAGGGGCCTTGCCCACCTGAGACATCTGTTGAGCAGGGTGGTGAGGGCTGGTTTCTGCAGGACTGAGCAGACGTGACGGAGAGGAGGCTGCTTAGGGTGGAGGCCGACTGGCCGCAGTTTTGTGCTGACATCGGCAGAGGATGCCATTTTTTGCGCCATTTGGTCCTTTTGTGAAAAAGACATTGCCTCTCCGGAAGCCAAAGCATCTAAGGATGGTGCTGGCTTAGAGCGGAACCAGGTGACAGCGCCGTCGGACGCTGTCGGTTTTAAGTCTCGTGTGAGTTGAGGCAGTGAGCCTTGGCAGAAGCTGCGGAGGCAGTGTTTGCTTCCTAGAGGGTTGGTATAGGGCCTTCTCTATCTCCTAAGGTTAGTTTTTATTTTTTTATTTTTGAGACACGGTCTTTTTGTCACCAAGGCTAGAGGACAGGTGTGTCCAACTCCTGGGCTCAAGTGATCCTCCCACATCAGCCTCCTGAGTAGCTGGGACTACAGGCGCGTGTCACCACACCCAACTCATTTTTTTATTTTTTGTAGAAACAGATTCTTGTTATATTGCCCAAGCTGGTCTTGAACTTCTGGCCTCCAGCAGTCCTCGAACCTCAGCCTCCCGAAGTACTGAGATAACATGATGGGAGCTACCATGCCGGCCCATAGTTGGTTTTCAGGAGCCGCATGTCGAGGCTTCCGCGGCGGCCACCCTAAGTCCACGTCTTCTCTCCACCCAGAGCCTTCGGCACCCTGTGCTACTCCGCAGACGGTCACAGCATCCTGGCGGGAGGCATGTCCAAGTTTGTGTGCATCTACCACGTCCGTGAGCAGATTCTCATGAAGAGGTTCGAGATCTCTTGTAACCTGTCTCTGGATGCCATGGAGGTGAGCCAGCAGCGCAGGGCCAGCTGGTGTGGCTTCCCGTCCAGTTGAGTGTGTCGGGCTCCTGCGTTGGGCACTCCTGTCTCCACAGGGCCCTGGGCATAGTTGTGGCACCTGTCCTGTGTCTAAGTGCACGGCCCTCACCTGCCCCGGCAGAGCCCAGCATGGAGCCTGGCGCCTCCCTCAGCCGTGTGCAGAGATGTGGCCCCCAGCCTTTTTGGCACCTGGCACCAGTTTCGTGGAAGGCAGTTTTTCCACAGACAGGGTTTGGGGGTTGGTTTTGGGATGAAGCAGTTTCACCTCAGATCAAGGTCACTGTCCTTAGACTCTCAGAGGGAGGGCGCCCCCAGGCCCTCACTGCGTGGTTCACAGTAGGGTTTGTGCTCCTGTGAGAATCTAGTGCTGCTGCTGCTCTGTCAGGAGGCAGAGCTCGTGAGCAGTGGGGAGCGGCTGTAAGTGCAGATGGGGCTTTGCCTTCGCCCCCCACCGCTCACCTCCTGCTGTGCAGCCAGCTCCTAACCCTGGTGTGGATGACTGCCGGAGCAGGCTGCTAGGAGGCTGGGGCCGCAGGGTGGGCGTCCAACACACGCTGACTCGGGACACACGGACAACCTGTCGAGGAAGCAGTGAATCAGGAGGGTGCTGGCCGGCCCTGCCTGATGGCTTCCTGCCCAGGTCCCTCATGGAGGGCTCTGCCCTCACTGCCCCCGCTAGTGCCTGCCCTCCCCTCAGGTCCCACTCACACACTGGCTCCCACAGCACCTCGGGATGAGGGTGAGGGAGTCCTGAAAGCCTCTAAGCAGGGGTGTGGCTGCTGGGTTCACCTGCCCATGCCCTATCTGGGCAGCAGCCCACCGCCCCCTTGGTGTTTCTGGTGGAAAGTGTCCTTGGCATTTTCCTGAGGGAGCAGATGGCCATCCTCCCTGTGAGTCCCAGCCCTTGTGGTGGCAGCAATGCCAGCATGCAGACATCCGTCCACCCCGTCTGCAGCCTCCACACCTGCCCCACTCCACAGCCTCCGTCCACCCCCTCTGCAGCCTCCACACCTGCCCCACTCCACAGCCTCCGTCCACCCCGTCTGCAGCCTCCACACCTGCCCCACTCCACAGCCTCCGTCCACCCCCTCTGCAGCCTCCACACCTGCCCCACTCCACAGCCTCCGTCCACCCCCTCTGCAGCCTCCACATCTGCCCCACTCCACAGCCTCCGTCCACCCCCTCGCAGCCTCCACACCTGTCCTACTCGACAGCCTCCGTCCACCCCATCTGCAGCCTCCACACCTGCCCCACTCCACAGCCTCCATCTACCCTCGGCAGCCTCCACACCTGCCCCACTCCACAGCCTCCGTCCACCCCGTCTGCAGCCTCTACACCTGCCCCACTCCACAGCCTCCGTCCACCCCGTCTGCAGCCTCCACACCTGCCCCACTCCACAGCCTCCATCTACCCTCGGCAGCCTCCACACCTGCCCCACTCCACAGCCTCCGTCCACCCCGTCTGCAGCCTCTACACCTGCCCCACTCCACAGCCTCCGTCCACCCCGTCTGCAGCCTCCACACCTGCCCCACTCCACAGCCTCCATCCACCCCGTCTGCAGCCTCCACACCTGCCCCACTCCACAGCCTCCATCTACCCTCTGCAGCCTCCACACCTGCCCCACTCCACAGCCTCCGTCCACCCTGTCTGCAGCCTTCACACCTGCCCCACTCCACAGCCTCCATCCACCCTCCTCTGCAGCCTCCACACCTGCCCCACTCCACAGCCTCCATCCACCCTCCTCTGCAGCCAGCTTTGCAGGGCTGTTCCCTGGGGAGCTGCAGGGATCTGTCCCTGTCTGGGTTCTAGACAGGGCTGAGGCTGGTCTGGTGTTGGGTCAAAGAGCAAGGGCGGCAGAGGAGGGTCAGGCCATGGGGCTGTCAGCGGCAAGGCAGCCACTGCTTTCGCTGTGACAGGAATTTTTGAACCGAAGAAAAATGACAGAGTTTGGCAACCTGGCACTGATTGATCAAGACGCTGGGCAGGAGGACGGAGTGGCGATAGCACTGCCAGGCGTCAAGAAAGGTGAGCAGAGGTTCCTCCCCCATCTGCCCACCACACACCCTTCCTGGGTGACCGCGGTGTGCTCGCCCCCCTTGTTGGGGCTTCTTTGTGTGAGAAGTAACAGTCACTATGCGGTGACGTTTGCTGGACATTGGGGGTGTCGAAGCCCCAGTGGGTTAGTGCCGGTGCCATCAGCCCCCGTGCCAGGAGGAGCTGCCCACGAGTCCTCCCTGCACTGGTGGGACCTGTCCATTTGCTCTTGGGATTGGGTGTCCCGTCTGCTGCACGGCACACAGAGTGTCCGGCATGAGGCCATGTGTGCCGCACAGAGAGCCCAGCGCTCCAGAAGTCCTGGGGCCTCCTGGGTCCTGGATAGACCACCCTGACGGGACACTTGGCAGCCAGAAACCCTGAGCGCCTCTGTGTACAGGCCCAGCATTCCCTGGGCTGGGCCAGGGCCCTTTTTGGGGTTGGCTATGTAGTCTGTTGGCCAGGCTGGCTTTTCCGGGGGTATCTGCGCCAGGGACTGGGCCATCTGCTTCTCAGCTCCCCCAGCACAGCCTCTGCGGCCCCAGCACAGGCCTGCCTGCTGCAGCTGCAGTAAGAGAAGGGCCGCTTGTGCCTCCGCCTTGTGCAGGGCGGAGGGAGCAGAAACTACTGCTCCTGATGGGCCCCCACAGCACCCCCAGGCAGCCGGGAGACTGCAGGATGGCATGCGTCGTGGGGAGGGCAGCCTAGATGTGCTGCCCAGTAGCCGCTCCTGGTTCTTTTTCTCCAGGTGACATGAGTTCTCGGCACTTCAAACCCGAGATCAGGGTGACCTCCGTCCGCTTCTCTCCCACTGGTGAGCACTGGGCCATGGGCTGCTGGTCCCGGTGGGCACTGGGGCATCTGTGCCAGGGTGAGGCCAGCCACCATGAAGCTGCCTGTAGGCTTCAGGCTGTGCCCTCTGCCCCTGGGTAAGAACATGGTGGTGCTGCAGGATGGCTGTTGTCCCTGAGGATGGGTGGTCACGATGGTGCCAGCCTTAGATGCACTGAGCTTGGAAGCGTGGCAGGCCTGGCACCCTTGCTCTAGCAGCTCCTCGAGTGCCATGCACACGCCACCCAGCTGGGGCGGCCCTGCTGTCATGGAGACCCCGTCTCCTCTGCACTGCCCCCGTCCTCTTGCAGTTGGGGGGAGGGTCTAGGCCATAGGCCTGTGGGGCCTGGCGGTGCACATGGTCCCCACACAGAGGAGCTGGGAGCAGGGTTATCGGGGAGCACGCTCCAGAAAGACTTGAGTGTCAGAGTCAAGGGCAGAGAGGCCCATGGGAGCCAGGGGTCTGTGCCCTGGGGCCCAAAAGCCAAACCTGGCTGCCGCTAGTGTACCGTGGCAGCACTGAGCAGGCGCAGCAGAGACCACAGGGCCTGTGGAGCTGAAGACACCAGAGCCTGGCAGAAGACTTGGGAGAGGAGAACGCATGCGTGTCCATATTCGCTTGTGTGTGCAGGAAACCCCTGGGGTCCCTTCCAGGGTGCTCCACGTGATTTCTTCCCAGGGGAGTTGGGGGTGGGCGCTAAAGGCAGATGGTTCCTCTTGACTTTTGTACTTTGTTCCACGGGAATGTATTTGATACTGTTTCTTAAAAAAGGAAAACCGTTTGGAGGAATGAACTTGAGTTTTCAGGAAAGCGCTGCTCCGTTTCCCAGGGCGCTGCTGGGCGGCCACCACCACGGAGGGGCTCCTCATCTACTCCCTGGACACGCGTGTGCTCTTTGACCCATTCGAGCTGGACACCAGCGTCACCCCCAGGCGGGTGCGCGAGGCGCTGCGCCAGCAGGACTTCACCCGGGCCATCCTCATGGCCCTCCGGCTCAACGAGAGCAAGCTGGTGCAGGAGGCCCTGGAGGCGGTGCCCAGGGACGAGAGTGAGTCGGGCTTCGCGTGCTGGGCGCCGGGGCGTCCTCTTTTCTCCTGGTTTGAGCCATGTGCAGAATAAGCCTGTTTATTTTCCCTTTGTGCAGTTGAAGTGGTCAGCTCCTCCCTTCCTGAATTGTATGTGGAGAAAGTGCTTGAGTTCTTAGCTTCCTCCTTTGAAGTGTCTCGCCACGTGGAATTCTACCTCCTCTGGACTCAGAAACTGCTCATGCTGCATGGACAGAAGCTGAAGGCCAGGTAGGAGCGTCTCACCCGCTGTTCGTCTGTGCCTCGGGTCACCTGACCAGCTTTTCTTGCTGGATAGATGCAAATGTAGCATGTAGGGAGCCCACTGTGACGCGGGTGACACCCCACGCTCAGGGAGTTTCCTTTTCAGAGCCACAACCCTGCTGCCTGTGATTCAGTTCCTCCAGAAGAGCATCCAGCGGCACCTGGACGACCTGTCGAAACTGTACGTGTGGGTGTCGGCCTGGCGGGTGGGCAGGGCTGCACGGTCACCTGCTGGCTCTTACTGGGAGCGCTCCTGGTTGTAGGGTTCAGCCCTACAGGGTCCTGTGAGCCCCTCTCTGCTGGTGCGGAGACGAGAAACTGTAGAAATAAAAGACAGACACAGAGACAGAGAAAAGAGAGTTTGGGCCGAGGTCCACTGCTAACCAAAGCGTGGAGACCTTCAGTGGCCCCGGGGGCCTGGACGCTCTGACGTTCATTGAGTACAGAACTGGGGGCATGGCAGGTAGACTGTGGCCTTGGTGGTCGGTGACAGGGTGAAGTACATCACGTGTCATGCAGGTAGGGCCCAAGAATTTCAGGTGGCTGAGATGAGGTAAGGAGCATAATGTGTCAGCACTTTTTCCACAGTGGTCAAGAAAGAACAAAGACATTAAGATTTACGTTACTTTTACTGATTATCCCTTCCAAGAAAAAAGAAACCAGGTGCAGAAGCGGAACATGAGAGTGGACATGGAAGGTGACCGCTGAAGCCCAGCATCGCATAGAGACAGTTAAGCCCCCGGATGCCTGTGGGTGTCCCTGACAGCGTCAGGCCGACCGCAAGAGCTCGGAGGGGCGGAGTTCTCTCCTAACTCCTCTGGGGAAGCAGACGTCTCAACTGTTTTGGACGTCTCCTTCCCTAGCTGGCTCAACAGTGGGCACTTTCACAGCGCTGGTGCCGCTGCCCAGCGAGGCGCCCTCCAGCAGCCCTTATGCAGGTGTGACAGAGGCTTAGAGCATCTTGCCTTAGGGTCATTCCTTTCACAGTGTCACCCTGGGTTCACACTTCTGAGAGGCATTAGTAGAAGAATTAGGATCCCCAAGGCCGGGCGCCGTGGCTCACGCCTATAATCCCAGCACTTTGGGAGGCCGAGGCAGGTGGATCATGAGGTCAAGAGATCGAGACCATCCTAGTCAACATGGTGAAACCCCGTCTCTACTGAAAATACAAAAATTAGCTAGGCATGGTGGTGCGTGCCTGTAATCCCAGCTACTCGGGAGGCTGAGGCAGGAGAATTGCTTGAACCCAGAAGGCAGAGGTTGCGGTGAGCCGAGATCGTGCCATTGCACTCCAGCCTGGGTAACGAGCGAAGCTCTGTCTCAAAAAAAACAAAAAAAAAGAATTAGGACCCCCCGCCCCATGAATAACTAGGAGTAACTAATAAGGACTACGGTTATGTTTGCATTTATATGGAAATGGGCCGAGGCTTCTGGCTCCTGGCTTGGCACTCATGGGGTCTTGTCCCTACACCTGGTGTCATCTGATTTGAGGAGCCAAAGAGCTCGCGCGGGAGGTGCTCGCTTCTACGGGTCACCCTGGGGTTGGCCGTCCTGGGAGATGGCCTGGCGCTGAATGGAAAGCAGCCAGCACTGTGGCAGGCAGACAGGCTGCAGGTGGTGCGCCCCGGGTGCGGCCAGGATCCTCCAGGCTCTTGCAGGGTTTACCACATTCATAGAACCAGCAACCTTTCCTGGATTTGCAGGTCACCCGCTGGGGCAGTGGGTGTGGTCTCAGGACTGTGGGGTGGGGTGGCCTGGAGTCCCAGAGGTGTGGCTGCCCCGGGGAAGGGTGCTGCTGCTGAGAGGATTCATCCGAGGGCCTAGGACAGGGCCCGGCCACCGAAGTCCTCGCTCTGCAGGGCCGCCTGCCTCTTCTGTCATTTCTTTGTGGTTTGTGCCCTTTTTGTCCCTGGCCCTAGCAAACCTCCCTCCCTGAAGGTCCAGCAGAGCCTGGACTGGGCAGGCCTCAGAGTCGCCGTGTGAGGGCTGTCTCCCTCTGCTGCCCGTCAGTTCCCAGGTTTCCCGGCTGCGTTTCTGAAAGGCCTGTTCTCTGCCCTGTGTGCAAGGTGCTCTGTCCAGGGCTCAGGGGCCAAGGCCTGAGTTTGGGGCTTGTGGGTTCATGTGGTTCTCCCGCCAGTCCTTGAAGTGTCTCAGTCTTTGGACTGAGTCCCAGAGTGTAGGTGGAGCCTTTCCTCCCACCGTGTTCCGGCCCCGCTACAGAAAGCCGGGGTGTGCCCTGATCCACAACTTTAGTGCCAGACATTCCCCCAGCTGAGGTGTCCTGGACTTTGCACAGAGCTCCGTAGAGGAGGAGGGCTGTCTGGCTTCTTTATTTATTTTTAAATAAATTGTTTTATTTTTTTTAGCAGAGTCTTGCTCTGTTGCCCAGGCTGGAGTTCAGTGGCGGTATCTTGGCTCACTGCAGCCTCCGCCTCCCAGGTTCGAGTGATTCTCCTGCCTCAACCTCCTGAGTAGCTACGATTACAGACACGCACCACCACCCCCAGATAATTTTTGTATTTTTAGCAGAGATGGGGTTTCACTGTTGGTCAGGCTGGTCTTGAACTCCTGACCTCAGGTGATCTGCCTGCCTCCGCCTCTCCCAAGTGCTGGGATGACAGGCGTGAGCCACCTCCCCTGGCCAAGCTCCTTTAGATCTGTTCCCTCTTTTGGGAGGTTGTCAGAGTTGGTGAAGCGCATTATTCCTTGGACTTCCTGTCTAGGCGTTCGCTGCCCATCTGTAGGGCTGCCACTTGCTGTGGGGAGTCCGCACATGACCTGAGATGCGGCGGGCGGTGCTTTCCTTCCTTCCTCGTCCACTTACCTTTCCGTTCTTTACAGGGCGCTTTGCTATGTAAAGTGATGGCGGCGTCACTTTTCTGCTTTATTTCGTTAACTCATAAAATTAACTGACTCAGAGTGCGCCTTCCTCCCTCCTGTTCCGGAACGCCGCATTGCTCTGCAAGAGCCGTCTCTTCCTAAGTGCGGGTGAAGCCATCTAGATTGGGCCCAGTGGAAGGGCCAGAAGGGATGGGATGTTCCAGTTGGGTCCTTGAAGGTCCTTGCTGCCCCGGGCCGGAAGGGGCAGAACCAGATTGCTGGGGCAGGGAAAAGAGGAAACGAATTGCTGCCGGGGTGGAGGGACCGGCATGTCCAGCGCCCGACGCTTTTCTCAGGGGTCGCAGAGAAGGGGTTGGGTTCAGGACAGACCGAGGCCCGGTTGTTGCCGGCACTTACCCTTCCCTGTGTGTGATTGACAGCTGTGGCTGGAACCGCTATAACATGCAGTACGCACTCGCGGTTTCCCAGCAGCGCGGCACGAAACGCCCACTGGAGCCACTGGGAAGTGAGGAGGAGGAGGCAGAAGCATCTGAAGACAACAGCCTGCAGCTGCTCGGAGGAGCAGGCAGAGACTCCGAAGAAGAGATGCTGGCCTAGAGCCGGCCTGTGGCAGCGCAGATTGTGCCAGCTAAGACCTGCCAGAGAGATGGGACCATTGTGCCACCTGGGCCAGCAAAGAGGAGGGGTCCAGAGAGCAGCTGAAGTACTGTCACTGGTGGTAGGGACTTGCTTCTCTGCAGAGGAAACATGGAGCCCATCACGACAGTGAGCTGACGGGCCACACCAGGGGCCGGTGCCAGGAGCGGGGCTGTGTGAACAGGGAGGAATTCTGAAAATGCCTCTCAGAAAGGTCAGTAGCTTCACATGAGCTTTGTATGAGACTTATTTATATCTCTAATATAAAGGTTTGATAAAGGACTTGGAGATAAAAAAGATGGGGTTTTTTTCTAACATGTGAGGATCAAGTCTACACTTCAAATTAAAAAAGCTTATGTTGAATCCTAGTGTTTTGTTGGGGCTCAGGACCTGCCTGCACACCAGGGCATCTGTGCTGGGGAAACACGCTGTCAGAGCAGGGTGGCCCTGCCATCTGGTGAGGGTCTGGCCATCTGGTGAGGGCCCTGCCATCTGGCGAGGGTCCTGCCATCTGGCGAGGGCCCTGCCATCTGGTGAGGGTCCTGCCATCTGGTGAGGGTCCTGCCATCTGGTGAGGGCCCTGCCATCTGGTGAGGGTCCTGCCATCTGGTGAGGACCCTGCCATCTGGTGAGGGCCCTGCCATCTGGTGAGGGCCCTGCCATCTGGTGAGGGTCCTGCCATCTGGTGAGGGTCTTGCCATCTGGTGAGGACCCTGCCATCTGGTGAGGGTCCTGCCATCTGGTGAGGGCCCTGCCATCTGGTGAGGGTCCTGCCATCTGGTGAGGACCCTGCCATCTGGTGAGGGTCCGGCCATCTGGTGAGGGTCCTGCCATCTGGTGAGGGCCCTGCCATCTGGTGAGGGTCCTGCCACCTGGTGAGGGCCCTGCCATCTGGTGAGGGCCCTGCCATCTGGTGAAGGTCCTGCCACCTGGTGAGGACCCTGCCATCTGGTGAGGGCCCTGCCATCTGGTGAGGACCCTGCCATCTGGTGAAGGTCCTGCTACTTGGTGAAGGTTCTGCCACCTGGTGAGGACCCTGCCATCTGGTGAGGGCCCTGCCCTGTGACCTGTACATATCCCAGGGGTCAGGGGCACAGAGCCTCTCCCTGACTTCTTGGGGACGCTTTGGAGCCCGGGACTGGGATTGGCCTGTCTTGGTGCGCTCACTCAGACCTGCACCAGCTCTGCATTGGCCACATGGAGGAGGGGACAGCTCCTGCCCTCTGCAGTGCCCTTGGGAACAGTTGTCATGAGAGTGGCTTGGGTCTCCATCCTGGTCCCCACAGCTTAGAAACAGCAGCCTCCAGGGTCAGGACCTGAGACTGACCCAGTGTGGTGGGTGCTTCACCGACCGACTGCCAATGCTGTCTGCCAGGCCCAGCCTGTCCCTTGCCAGCAGTGTGTGCCAATGAGACCCTGGGTGGCACCTGGGAAGTGGAGCTGATACCTGCCTGGTGGTCTCCCCGGGTGGTGTGAAGCCACATGGACTAGAGAGTGTTGATGAATAAGGTGGCACGCTGTGGCCCTCAGTGCTGTGATTGGAGGCCTGCAGACCAAAGCCTTCTTTGAAAGGAAGAGCTCAGGCCCTGGCATCACCAAGGGTTCTGTGGCTACACGTCTCTGTGTGACTTAGACTGGAGAGAGAATCCTTAGCTATCGTCTGCCCAAAACAGGATTCCCACTGTTCCCCTGCCTTGCCTCCTCTTCTGTGGAACAGGATTTGCAGCGTTCCCCCGCCTCACCTCACCCTTTTCTGTGTCACATGTGCATGGCAGTGGACACCTGAGTAGTTGCCCCTGGGACAACTGGAGCTGTGACTGCAGTGGGTCTGGGAGCTCCATGCCAGGGGCAGCTCCCGAGCATGTGGCGGGAGGTGGAGACAGGAATGGGAGTCTGAGTTCAGCATTTCCTTTCTGAGTGGTGTTTGGTGTTTTTCGTGCCATCCCACGACCCCATCGCTCCCACCAACTGATGCTCCCTGGCTGGCCGCTCCCCAGGAGCTGAGAAGCCTGAAGGGCAGGCACGGAGGAACAGGAGCGAGGACGGTCAAATGTGCCAAGCTCATCTTTGGTTGTTTAACTGGTAATGTCCTGTGTCTGTTATTCTAGTTTCCCACTCTCTCCCACAGGGACTGACAGTAAAAGTCCTAGTGATGGACCACGCGTCACTGGGGACAGTGACAGCCATGGGCTGGGTCATCAGCTCTGAGTGCCGTGTCCAGCGTGTCCCTGTGCACATCCTCTAGCAGTGACCACATTATTTCAAAAAACCATGCATAGCAAATAGATTTTTTTAATGGAAGAATTCCAGCTCGGACCTGAACAGCTGGGATCTTCACACTGACCATCCATGCTGTGAAAGTCAAAAAATAAAATAAAAACAGTGGCAGGGCACAGTGGCTCACGCCTGTAATCCCAGCACTTTGGGGGGCATAGGTGGGCGGATCACCTGAGGTTGGGAGTTTGAGACCAGCCTGACCAACGTGAAGAAACCCCGCCACTACTAAGAATACAAGATTAGCCTGGCGCGGCGGCGCATGCCCGTAATCCCAGCTACTCGGGAGGCTGAGGCAGGAGAACCGCTTAAACCCGGAAGGCAGAGGTTGTGAGCCAGGATCGCGTCAGACTAACCCGGATCAAGCCCTTGTGTGGAACTGCAGTTTCCAGGGTGCAACACCCCGGGGTCAGCAAAACCCGGAAGGGTCGCTCCGCGAGAGACAGTCATGGAAGCGGGGTGGTCCTGACCGCGCGTGGGTCCTGACACCCAGATTAAGACGAGTGGCCATTTAGGAGATGTGGACCCTGGGTGCTTGTGCTGGTGAGTGAAGGGTAAGTCGGAGGTAAGAGGCGCGGCGACGGGCTGAGCCGCCCGAGGCAAGGCTGCACCGCGGACGGCGGGAAGGGCGCGGCGCCTGTGGAGGCGTCCGAGGAGGGCGGCGCTGGGGACCACGAGAGTCGCCAGCATCACTCGGCCTTGGGCCCGAGCCCTCAGCCACCACCCGAAGGAGGACAGGGTTCCCGGAGCTCTACCCGGAGGCTCTGCGCAGGCGCACCCCGCCCACCGGCGCACTCACCGGATAGGGCTGCGACGGGGGCGGTCCTGGAGCTCCGCCCCGAGGGGTCTGCGCAGGCGCGGCCCCGCCCGCCAGTACACGGGATAGGGCTGAGACGGGGGCGGTTCTGGAGCTCCGCCCCGAGGGGTCTGCGCAGGCGCGCCCCGCCCGCCAGCACACTCGGGATAGGGCTGAGACGGGGGCGGTTCTGGAGCTCCGCCCCGAGGGGTCTGCGCAGGCGCGGCCCCGCCCGCCAGCACACTCGGGATAGGGCTGAGACGGGAGCGAGCCCTGGAGCTCCGCCCCGAAGGCTCTGCGCAGGCGCCGTCCCGACCAGCTGCGCGTTTGTAGGCTGGCAGCAGAACCTTTTCTGTCCCCGTGCGACCTTCCTACCCCGCTGGCCTCACCGCAATGGCGGCTGTGAGGGCCCAGGTGGCCTCGAGGCTTGCTGCCGTATCTGCGTTCGCGTCGGTGTCCCCCGGCAGTCGGACGCCTTTCCAGCGCGCAGCCCTTCACCGCTCCGCGCCGCGCCCCGGGGCCAGGGTCGCGCTGGTGAGTGGACGAGGGTGTGGGGCCCGCCTCCAGAGGTCAGCCTTCTCCGCTCCCCGCCCAGGTCGGCCCCTTTTCCCCGGGTCCATCCGCCCAGGTCGGCCCCTTTCCCCGGGTCAGCCCCCGCCCGAGGTCGGCCCCTTTCCCCCGGGTCAGCCCCCGCCCGAGGTCGGCCCCTTTCCCCGGGTCAGCCCCCGCCCGAGGTCGGCCCCTTTCCCCGGGTCAGCCCCCGCCCGAGGTCGGCCCCTTTCCCCGGGTCAGCCCCCGCCCGAGGTCGGCGCCTTTTCCCCGGGTCAGCCCCCGCCCGAGGTCGGCGCCTTTTCCCCGGGTCAGCCCCCGCCCGAGGTCGGCGCCTTTTCCCCGGGTCAGCTCCCGCTCCTCTCGCAGGTGCTGTCTGGATGCGGAGTCTTCGATGGGACCGAGATCCACGAGGCCTCGGCGTAAGTCCTCGGGGGCAGCTGGTCCTCCACCGCGGGGGCCTCGGGAAGGTATCCCTATTGGTGCAGTTTACCCTTTTTGAACAGTTTAGAGAAAGTATGTATTGTATTTTATTTTTTATATTTATCCTTTAAGACAGCGCCCAGTCTTTCTCAAAGGATAAGTTGAGTGGTGCAATTGGCTCACTGCAGCCTCTGCTTCCTGGGTTCAAGCGATTCTCCTGCCTCAGCTTCCCGAGTAGTTGGGACTACAGGTGTGCACCACCATGCCCAACCACCAACTAATTTCTGTATTTTTAGTAGAGACGGGGTTTCGCTGT